TGTGGTTGATAGGAACATCTTTTTTTTTTTTTTAAGATTTTATTTATTTATCTGACAGAGAGAGACAGAGCGAGAGAGGGAACACAGGCAGGGGGAGTGGGAGAGGGAGAAGCAGGCTTTCCGCCGAGCAGGGAGCCCAATGTGGGGCTCGATCCCAGGACCCTGGGATTATGACCTGAGCCGAAGGCAGACGCTTAACGACTGAGCCACCCAGGCACCCCTGATAGGAACATCTTATGTGGAGCTCCTAAATCTTGTAATTTCCTGGGTGACAGAAGTGTCTTTTATTCTACTGAGGCAACAGGGCTCCTGGATGGGGCTGGTCACCAGAAAGATCAAGCATGATTAGAAGTCCCTCTACTCCTGAGTTAACTAAGTTAATAACTGATTATTCCTATGTGATGAAGCCTCCATAAAAATCCCTAAAGTATGGGGTCCAGAGAGCTTCCAGGTTGCTGAATACATCAAGGTGCTGGAAGGGTGGTATACCCAGGGAGGGCTTGAAAGTACTACACTCTTTCCCCCATACCTTGCCCTAGGCATCTCTTCCATCTGGTTGTTCCTGAGTCATATCCCTTTATAATAAACCAGTAATCTAGTTGGTAAATTGTTTTCCTGAGTTCTGTTAGCTGTTCGAGCAAATTATCAAACCTGAGGAGGGGGTCATGAGAACTCTTATTTTTAGCTAGTCTGTCAGAAGCACAGGTGATAACCTGGACTGCAACTAGTATCTGAAGTGGGGGCATACTTGTGGTACTGAGCCCTCAACTTGTGGGATCTGATGCTAACTCCAGGTAGACAGCGTAAGAATTGAAATGAATTGTAGAACATCCAGTCAGTGTCTGCTGGAAAACTGAACTGAAATGTTGTAGGTAAAATCCCCACACATCTGGTGTCAGAAATGAAGTACTGAGACTAGTCGTAGTGCTGAGAGAAAGAGTTTTTTTCCTTTCACTCCGCCAACTAGGTGTTTAACTTAAACTGTCTTTTAACTCCAGTACTTGAGATGACTTCTGCCCTAGTACTCAATAAATGTTTGCTGAATGAACACATTTTCTCAAATGCACGATAATTAATTAATTGGTAGCCAGGTTCCACACACAATTATCTAACAGCTAATATGGCTAAAAGAAGCAGCATTTCAGCAAATAGAAGGTAAAGGGGGTGGTCCACATTTCTATATCTCATGTTCATTACTATATATTTAGCTAGTTAATTGAACGAGAGATCTTTTTTCAGTAACTCTGTTTAAATACTTTGTAACTTAGTTTGAAAATCCAAGAAACATAAATGTATTTGTGTGCAAAAATGTGTTCTTGGCTATTTAAATTCTAATCTGGAGGTCAAACAACCATTGTTACCATAGTCAAATTACCTGACCTCAAATACAATTATCAAGGCACCTCCATTTACAGGAAAGAAAACACTTAAGTTCCTAATCCTGGCATTTAGGACCTCCACAATTAAACTCCAATTTACCTCACATGCCATTCCTCTTCTTCATGCATGCTATACTCCAGCCAAAGTGGAACTCTTCCCTTGCCTCAAGGATCTACACTTACTTCCCTTTATGTCTTGGATTTTATTGTCTGCTTTATTAGAAAGTCCCTTCCATCCAGTTGCACAAACTCAAATCTAACAGATCCTTAATATATCATTCAAATACCCCTTCCTATTCCTTTCCCACTTCTAGAGGTAATCTTCCCATTCTCTCAACTCCTATAGCACTTTATCTTTGACACCATTTATAACTTTATTTCAAGTGTACACAGTTATACATCTTTATTCTCTTCCCACATTAATAAGGGCAGGTTCTATATTAACTCAACATTGTCCAAAGTACATTGGAATTCACAAAATTAACAAGCAGTAGAAAATATAACAGTCTCATGGTCAACTAGTTTGGGAAATAAACTTCTCAGAACCTTTAATATACTAAGGTATGTTGTAACTTTCTAACAAAACAAAGTATGCCCATTTCCAAAACTTACTTGGCCTCTAAACCATTTTGGGTTTTCTGCAGCACATTTCATAGTATTACTATTTCTATGGCATGCCTTTGAGACATGCAGCCTCATTAATCTTGGCACCTTATCTTGAACTTAATAGGTATTCAACAAATATTTGTTGAATGAATGGGTAATTGACCCTGGTTAACAAAGAACTCTACCATAAAGGCAGCCTGCCCAAAAAGAAGACTCCAAGAATGACAGGAGAGAAAAATAGCAAGTGAGAGAGGAGTACAATGTCCTCAGTAGTGCAGTAAGAGAAGAGAGGAATACTTGTGACAACAGAGGAATTTACTACCCCAGCCACTTTTTATATGCAGGGAACTAATCTAAACCACGTAGGAATGCCTGTTTACAACATCCATCCTGAGGTAATCATTTAGAGTCACTGGAGATAGAATCTTTCAGAAAATTTGTCAACAAGGGTTGAAACTATGAAGGTATTCTTGTCAATTTCGAGGCTATACACTATTAAAGTAACTGAATCATCTATTACTAAAGCATTTCTGCCAACTGAAGAAATATCCTGGAGTTTGATTTTGTTGTATGAGGGTGTTTATGTTATAAAAGGAAGTCTCATAGGATCAACAATAAGATTTTAAAAGAAGTAGAGTTAACACTTATGAAATTTCATGGATTCAAAGCATAATTTTGTATTGATTTAACCTCTTTTTCAATGTGGAAATGAAAGCAGCATTCAACTTAATCGTGCATTAAGACCAGGATGTATAAAAACAAAATATCCTGACTACATCCTGACCTCTGTTTCCTACAGTTCTCCAGCTGTGACTAAGAAAGGGAAGAGAAAAAGACACTCCCTGATATGTCCTACAATCTAGATCCTATGGTAGTAGCAACAGGAAATGGCAGTGATGACTGAGGTTTGTTTTTTGTTTGCCTCCTCACTCTAAGGCAAAGACAAACTTTTCACTTAGGGATGAAAACTTATCCAAGAATAGAGTCCACTGGGGGCTGAAAAGATAAATACATTTCTTAATTGTAACTATTAACATTTAATTATAACTTTTAACGTAACAGGCTTTTAATTTTGATGAAGCAACAAGAGAAGGTCACATGAATTAAGATCTATAAGCATGTTTAAGGTTGCCCTATGAACCCTCTGGCCACAGGACTGGTCTGTCTCTGTCATCACTGATCAGTTAAGTGAATATTACTAGCTATGCATAACAAGTCACTCAGCTAAACTAAACCCTAATTTGGTTCAACTACTTTACTAAATAGCATGACCCTAGAAAGCAAATATATATTTACTTCTAAGAAAATAAATATATAGCTATAGATATATATACATGTATATATATCTACCTTCTCTCCCCTTTACCCTGGGGGGAAGGGGGGCAGAAATCAAATATATTTTCAATTAAGTTAGGTGGACTCATGTGGTCAAACATTTAAAGAAAAATAGACATAATACGGTCTTAGATACAACTGGGAATGTCAAGCAGGATTCATTAAATCACAGGTTAATGCCTTATGAACCATGTAAGAAAATAGTAAGTTTTCTATTAATAGTTGGCTGGTCATGTATTCATTTAGCAAATTAAAGATTTCAACTTCATAAAGTTTTCTACCTTTATAAGATGTGAAAGATAAAACAAGGAACGACAGAACTATTTAGTATCTTGCCCAGAAACACGCAGTAAAAGCTTTCAACAATCTCCCTGCTCCTGCATCAATCAATAAAGAGACGGCACAATTTTGGAATTAGAGAAGTTAATGCAATATACCTCCCAACACTTACATCTCAGAACATACAATTAATATTTCCAAATTCTTTCTTGTAATTATAATCCTTCACTCACAAATTACTATTTGATTATTAGTTATTGTAACAATGGTGTATGTTATTCCTCTCAACAAAAAGCATTATCTATCCAAGAGCTGACAGGAACCCCAAATATAGTAACAGTTACAAATGAAAAGTTCCCAATTGTTGTAAAAACTGTGGCATTCAAATTTTAAGCCAAAAAAACTGCTGACTCTTAAGCAGAAAAAGAATCAAATCTTCACTCGCGGAGAAATTCTCTAATGTCAACTGCAGTCTTCTCAATTATTACTTACACTTTTGTTATTCAATTTGAAACACAAGCACACACAAAAAGGGTCTTTGCTTCCTTTTTCTTTACATCTGTTTTCACTTGTTTCACAAAAAGAGATCCTTCATAGGTTTCGTTGTTTGGTGGTCCAATTGGAATTTTCCTATTCTATTTATCTCAAACATCACAGCTTCTTCTTACACTGAATTTCACTAAATTAAATTTTAAGTTTTAGAGAGTGAAAATGCTCCAGGAAACACGTTTGAACGCTCATTGTCTCAGGAGCTAAGGATTCTCTAGCTTGCCTTTACGTGGTTTTAAAATACATTTAAATTCCTTGAGACCCGAACGTGAATGTTAATTTCTAGTTTCGCCTCCCCTTTCAGTCTCAAGGGCTAAGTAGGCCTGTTATTGTCCTAAAAAACCACTTCAGCCTTTACGAATGTAAAGGAAAACTGGCCACTTGTAACGTTTACTAACGGAATAATTTTAATTACTCAACCGCAAGAAGCCCCCAGTCGTCCCAATCTCAGGTGGTCCCCTTAGAATATTACTCGAGGATCCAAGCGACAAGACGGGGCTCGCCCAACCTGAGGCTGCTGGCTCCTCTCTCCGCGCCCTGAGTCAGCCTTACCCACTTCTCATCCCGAGTACATCTTCCAACCCCTAAACCTCCGAAGCTCCTCTCCAGCCTGCGGACAAAACCAACCCTCCTCCTTTCGGACTCCAGGTTCCCTTCCCTGCTCACCTCCCCGCCCGCATCCCCAAGCCACCCCTCCCCCATTTCACGCTCCGCCCGCGCCGCCACCGGAGCCGCCACCCCACCCCTCGCCTCTCGCACCTTTCCTCCCCCGGCTGCGTCCGCTCCTCCGCCCGCCCACCTCGCTGTCCGCACCCCGGGCCTGCCACTCCCCGAAGAGCCGCCGGGACTCACCTCGAAGAGCTCGGCCGTCGTAGCCATCCCGGCCGGCTGAGAGGCTCGCCTCGCACTGGAAGCCGTCTCCTCTTCACATGCTGCGCCTCAGCGGCGCCGCGCACAGGTCCCCGCTCGGCTCGCCAGCTCTGGCTCCGGGCCGCCGCGGGATCCCCCACTCCCCACAGAGCCCAAGCGGGGCGGGAGGGCGGCCATGAAGCGAAGCCGCAGACGCCTGTCAGCTGCCTCCCGGCGCCGCCCGCGCCGCTCCCATTGTCACCGCCTCGTACGCCGGAAGTGGAGCTGCGCGCGCGGGGTTGGCTGTCGGGAGGGGCCGGAGAGGGAAGCCTGCAGCCGGGGAACCGCAGAGAGGCTCGTCGCTGGGGCGAGCGAGGAACCATGATCCTTGCGGGCCACCGTCCCGGAAGTGGCCCTTAGAGGAAGAAAGTACTGGGGTTCCTGGGGAGGAATGCTTCTCGGCATTCTAGATGAGGATTCACAGAACTTTTGTGGCATGTGTTGACAGGAGGGACTCAGACGTTTTAGTCACGCCACCTGAAGGAGCCAGCGTCTCTGCTGAGCCCAACCTGTTTGTGGTGGGACAGAAGGTGGCTCAGGTTGGGTGAGCCTCGGATCTTCTGGTAGGAGCCCCTCTGAGAAAGCCGGTCTGCGTCCTTTTTCCGTGGCGACCTTAGGGATGAGTTGATGCTTTAGTGGCTTGTCATGGCCCAGCGGGCAGTGTGGCTCATAAGCCACGAGCCGGGAACTCCACTTTGTGGCACCGTCAGATTCTCCAGGTAAATGCAGTTCGAATTCTCAGGGGTGATGGATCGGAGGGATTGATAATGTACTGTAGTTTGGGGATGTGTCTTTGTCCGCCGCCTTGGGCTAGTTACTTAACTTCTGTTTCATCTGTTTAATGGAAATTTTAACACCACTACTTAATAGTATTGTGAGAATAAAATGTGTTGATGTTTGGCACATATTATTACGTGTTTTTCAATATTAGTATTACTGTAATAAAAATTAACTTCACCTGCTTGGGATTGAGATGGAGATGACCAAAGGAAAGGAAAGGAAACTTACTGAGCACTGAACATGTTTCAGATTTTTCTACTTTCGTTAATAAAGATCATTCAAGGACATTTTAGCTCATTCTTCAGGAAAATCTTCGCTGAGCAGTAAAAGACTGTTATTTTCATATTATGTTTCATTCTTAGAAACTTTCAGGTGGATTACTTGAAAGTTCCTCATTGTTGAAGAAAATTGGAAAAGTACAAAAAATAAAATCATATTCACTTTTTCTTAGATTGTGTAGGCTGATCTGGTTCCACTTTTAGAATATGCCACATTCTATCAAAATAGCTCTGTGGTGAGAATTATACAATAACTCATGGTAAAATATAAGTGGCAGTCTGTAATCTGTATCACCTTTTATTCTTGGTGGCTATTGACAGCTCTTTCTTGCCATCATATTTATTCTTCCCTGAGGAAAGCTCTGTAGGGAGGTAGCATAGCTCTGCATTGAGATTGAGACAGATAAAGATGAGTGTGATTTTAAATGAAAGTGGTTGGCAATGTGGATATGAAAAATTCCCTCTTCACAACCTAAACATTTTTTGTTACTGAGGGTATCAGAGTTAAAGTTTGCCATTTTCTCCCAGGATACCTGGCTTGCTTTGTTGTTGTACCTTAAGTAAGGAGTTTAATAATATTTAATATGGTTCAGGAGCCTCATTGGTTGGTCCAAAGTACTTATATATTCCTTTGAGTATCTTTATTTCTGCCATTCTCCTCCTCCTCACAGGTAACTCTTACATGTTTGTTGCTATCCCTTTATTTTGTGTTTGTTGGTGCATTTTTCAAATTACACAATTAAGTGTGCTATAGACTTCATTTTCTTATATTTGCCAGACTTCTCAGCACTATTTTTAAGAAACATCCATGTTACTTTGTGTTCATCCAGAGCAGCGCTGTCCAGTAGAATTTTCTGCAATGATGGGCATGAGAAATGTCCTAAATCTATGCTGTTTAATATTGTGCCACTAACCACATGTAGCTATTGTGCTTTTGAAATGTAACTATTATAACTGAGGAACTCAGTCTTGTTTAATTTTAAGTTTAAATAGTCACATGTGGCTAGTGGCTCCTGTTTTGGACAGTGCAGATCTAAACCATTGCTCTTTTGTACTCTATGGTTTACATCCTCTATATTTTGCCTGTCCCCTTCCTCTAGTGATGATAATCCCAGGTTGCCTCCAACTCAGCCATCAGAATGGTGATGCAGTAGATATCCTCAAAAGGCTCATAGGGCCTATCTATGCTGATTTTGACTGAATATTGTGAAATAATTAGCTCTTCAGAATACTTTCTCCAGTCTCACTCTTCTCATCAGCAGTGAGCAAATGTTCCTATATCTCCATTCTTTCCTAACATTTATTCTACTTCTTGTCAATATTGCTATAAAGGATATCTTATTTTCATTTGCATTTCTCTGTGTAGCAGTGATTCTTAGCCCTTTCGATTTCCTTTTCTGTGGATTGCTTGTACATATCCTTGTCCATTTTATCTTTGAGAGTTGCTATTTGTCTGTTTGTTGGTTTTCATGTTAATTTTCTCCTGAAAATTAATTCATTGTGTATTCTTATGTATTCATCGTATATTCTCGATACTAGGCCTTTGTCATTTTTAGTTACTACAGATATTTTCTCTCATTTTGTCATTTTTAACTTTATATATCACTTGATTAAACAAACCACTAATTTTATTACAGTCAGAGTAGTACTTTGGGGGTTTTGTTGAGGTCATACTCTACCCTTATTTTCCAAAGCCATCTTCTTACATTATCGTCTCTTAACTTTATCATTTTATCTGTCATGTTTAGGTCTTTAATCCATCTTCAGATGTCATGTTAATAGAGGAATCCATTATATTTTTCTCTATAGTGTGGGCCAGTTTTCCTGTATGTTAAATGTATTTTTTTGGTATATATATATATTTTTTTCATTGATTTGTGGGACTATTGATAGTTGATTATGTTTCTCTTATAAATATTGGTCTGTTTCAGTTCTATTACTTTATTTGCCTATTCTTGGACCAGTACCATACTGTATTTATATCTGTGACTTTGTAACTTATCTTAATACCTTACAGAGATAAGATTTTTTTTACTGCTTATAAAAATAAGTTCCTTGAAGAACTCATTGTTGCTTTCAGATTTTTTTTTTTCTCATTGTACTCAGGATATTTCAGAAGAAAAATTCAGATATGTTTGGGTGGGTTTTTCAGCATCTCTGTGGAGGCAGCAAGTTGGGTTCAAATAATTCATCTGTCACTTATTAATTTTGCATCATTAAAGAAATTAGTTTTATTATTTTCCATTTTCTGAGCTCTTGGGCCTGGTGTAAGGGCTAAGCATACATACCCTGGCATATTACCCACATATATGCCAAAGGTTAATGGCCATCATTTAAGATTTTTAAAAGCAGATGGTCGTTCCTGTATGTAATTATGTTTTCCCAAAACAAAACTTGGTTTAGATTCAGATTTAGAAGTTTGCTGTCCAGATATATAGTAATAGTATCAGCTTCAGTATGGCTTAGTTTGGTATTTTACCCCATAATTGTAGGGCCAAGGTTTGAGTGCTATTTTAGAAAAGGTCTAGAATAAATCTAAAATGATAGGTTGAGTCATCCAATAAAAATATTTATTGAGCACATACAAGGTATTGTGTACAGTCCCAGATTAACTTCTTATCTTTACATCCAATATTGAGATTCTTACACTTAAGAAGGACTTTAATTATCCTCTAGATAGCCAAAGGGTAAAACACTGGGCTGGAGTTTAGTTCACAGTTCTCAACTGTTCTTATCCTGAGACCCAGAGAAAGAAATGGCATTCAGCTGCTAAGCCATTACTGGAGGGCTAGCTAAATCTTTTCCTTTCTCAATCAAAAAAGTACATCAGAATGTGAATGATAACTAATATAGAGATAACTTTGAATACATTCCTATTTTTCTTTTTAAAAATTATTAGTAAACATCAATATCTTATTAGGGGTATTAATGAAAAAAAATTATTTTGGCCAGGTGTGTTTTTGCTTCTTGATGAGAATTGCTGATATATTTAGATACTCCTTTATTGTACAAATAAGAAAATAGACTTAGGGAAGTTAGGTGACTTACACAGAAGTTAATACTAATAAATGACTTTGTTCTGGACATTAGAGTGGAGAGAAAAGGAATAGGGAAAGTACATCTTTTTTTTAAACTAAGAAAATGTGACATAACATTTTGTAAATGAGTAAAAGCATCTTACTCGGATTTTATTTCTATTACCTCATAATATCTTTCAGGGCCATAAAGATAAACATTTTTATTACTAAAGCATTCTTACATTTTAAGGAGTTGGCAAGAAGACTCAGGGTATTTGTTATTCACTATTAACTGAGTAGAATAGAACATTCCTTTTACATTTGTATCATCTCAGCTAGTGAATCCAAAATTATGGCAGGTTAAATTGAACCACTTCTTTGATTCTGCTCTACTAAGATGGAATCAGAAAAGAAAAAAAAGGCCTTAGTAGATGCCTAAAAAGTGTCCAAGTATACATTCCTGGCCTACCAAACAGGAATCTGAGTGACCAAGAAACTAGAATTTTGAATTAGAACCATGTACTTTACCTATTTAAAAAATTAACTAAATTGATCTATTTTCAGTAATAAATAATGACATTATAATTTGAGATAATATACCAAGTATACAACAGTTAGTTACTACAGTAGAAATTTAACGTGTGATACATTGTTTTGGTTGTGGATTTTGTGGGTGTATGTATTATTGTGTGTTTTGTTGTTATTGTTAGTCTTGTGTTTTGGGTTTGTTTTTGTTTTGGGGGTTTTTTGGATTTTTCTACTTTTATTTTCCTTGGAAGAACCATTTATAATATTTCTGTTTCCATAATTCAGACGGTATCCAACTGTTGAAAAACGAGCCAAAGTCTTCAATGGAACAAGTTATGTGCCTATTCCTGAAGATGGTCCCTTTCTTAAAGCACTGTTTTTTGAACTTAGATTATTGGATGATGATAAGGACTTCGTAGAAAGTCGTGATAGCTGTTCACACATCAATAAAACATCTGTCTATGGACTCCTAGTAGGAGGTGGAGAACTCTGGCCAGTTGTTGCTTTTCTGAAGAATAACATGATATATGCTTGTGTTCCACTAGTTGAACAAACTTTATCCCCTCGTCCACCATTAATTAGCATTAGTGGAATTTCACAAAGTTTTGAACTTCTTTTTGGGATACAGGATTTTCTTCACTTGGGTCAAAAAAATGAAACTGAGTTAAACACAAAATTGAACCAACTGCCTGATTTGCTTCTACAAGCTTGTCCATTTGGAACTTTGTTAGATGCCAACTTACAGAATTCATTGGATAGTATTAATTTTGCTTCTGTGACACATCCACAAAAACAGCCGGCCTGGAAAGTTGGAACATACAAAGGAAAACCACAAGTTTCTATTTCTATCACTGAAAAGGTAAAATCCATGCAATATGATAAACAGGATATAGCAGATACGTGGCAGGTTGTTGGAGCTGTCACTTGCAAGGTGAGATTTTCTCTGATACTTGTTTTATCATACCATTGAACACCTATGGAGAAAAGTAAAATTTTCTAACTTTATTTTACATTGTTATATGACATTCTTGATTTTTATCATAAACAGCAGTCATTAAATGTGTGAAATTTTGCAACATTACCTTTTTGTATTCCTTATGAATTGAATTTTTTTTAAAGATTTTATTTATTTAAGAGAGAGAGTGCACAAGCTGGAGGGAGAGGCAGAGGGAGAGGGAGAAGCGGACTCCCCGATAAGCAGGGAGCCCGATGCGGGGCTGGATCTCAGGACCCTAGGATCGTGACCTGAGCCAAAGGCAGACGCCCAACCGACTGAGCCCCTTATGAATTGTATTAGTTATATATGGCTGCATACTGAATTGTTCCATTATCCCCAAAATAAACATTTATTATCGTCATTGTTCTGTGGGTTAAGACTTCAGGAACAGCTTAGCTAGGAACTTCTAGTGTGGAGTCATGAGATCACAGTCAAAGCAGCTGGAACTATAGTTACCTGAGGGTTTGATTGGGGCTGGAAAATCTACTTGCAAGGTGGCTCACTCACATGGATAGCAAATTGGTGCTGGTTGCTGATGGGAGGGCTCAGTTCTTTTCCATGTGGACTTCTCAGTAGTCTAAGAATATCCTCACAACTTGGTGACTGGTTTCCTATGGATCAAATGATGAGAGAGAAAGAAAGAGAAGGCACAGGTAGAAGCTATTCTTTTTATTACCTCAGCTGAGGACAGATGACATCACTTTTACCACTTTTTGTTCATTAGAAACAGGTCACTAAGCCCACTCCACATTCAAGGGGACTAGAATTAGGCTTCACCTTTTGAAAAGAGTAAAAGAATTTGTGAAAATATTTTAAAACCATCATATTTGATATTTTCCATTTCCTCTAAAAGGATGAAATTGACAAATCTTTGAATTAATATCTAAAACCATTTTGAAGGGCTCTTATATTATTTAAAAAAGTTTGTAGGTTAATATAGTGTTCTCTGGTTTCAGGATAGAAAATAGGAAACGGCAATAGGAGTAACAATATAATTAGTAGTGAGGAGTGCCATTTTGAATAATGATCAAAAATTAAAGCCTTCCATAATTTCTGCAAGTACATATCAATAATATTTTTATATGTCCTTATTTTTCTGATATCCTTTATTCTCTGCACTTATGAATATAAACTTTTTAATAAAAATGTTGAGTGGCTATGTACAAATGCTCTAGATAAAAGTAGATTTCAAGAACAGAAAATTAGAACAGTCCTGGCAGACAAATTGGGTCTTTCTTTTCCTTTTAACCTTAAAGTAACTTAAGAGTTTATGTGTCTATTTTAAACTCACTTCTATCATGATCAAAAATACATTCCAGTTATTAACTTATTAGAAATAACTATTATAAATGATGGGGTGCCTCGGTGGCTCAGGTGGCTAAGTATCCAACTTTTGATTTTGGCTCAGGTCGTGATCTTAGGGTTGTGAGATCGAGGCCTGTGTCAGGCTCTGCACTGGGCATAGAGCCTGTTTAAGATTCTCTCTCTCCCTCATCTGTCCACCCCACCCCCAGTAAAAAAAAACAAAAAACAAAAAACTATTATAAATGGCTCTAAAATTGAGGTGTGCATGGATTATGTCATTCACAAATCTTAAAGTAGTTGAACCCTTCTTTCTCATAAGTCTGTGAAATAAAAGGAAAATTCACCATTTTTGTTTTTCCCTTCTGTGGCAATAAATAGGGAATATGTTATATATAAATTTGCTACTAATTAATATCATGGTGTTTAAATATCTCAGCTCATTGATAGGCTGACTGACCCTAGTTTATTGCTTATGGGAATTTTGGATTGGTTTCTATACAAATTATCATGATGGAGAACTTTCTTCTTTAAAAAACTTTCTTCTAAAAATAAAAAGAATGGGGGTGTGCCATAATCCATGCACTAAATGTTTCTTTAAGCTTGTATGTAAATAGTACATCTGTTAGCCAAACATTTTTTTTAAAGTTCTTCAGGAGGTTAGTATTTAAAGTTTTATTATGAAGCCTATTATAAATGGAAATAATTATCTTCATTTAATCTTAGTCCTAGTAGAAAACCTGGTGAACCAAAAGCCAGTGGACTGAAGTTCTAGTCCTCATTCCACCACTAATTCTTTGGTGTCTTTGGAAAAGTCATAATTTTTACAATCTTTTCTCATTTTTAAAATCAGGTAAGTTCCTAGGTCCCTTCTGTTTTCCCTTCACCTAGTTAAAAGTGAGATTTACATATGCCAGATTGGCTTAAAGGGTAGTACCCAGGTTTCATCTAGAATGACTGTCCTCATTCTCTAGTAAATGACTGATGATCTGGTATTTTAAATCACTAGGTAGCAGATAATCCATTGGTGGCTTCCGTAATGGTTGCAATTTTCTGATCCCTCTAAGAATCTTAGACTGATTTAATAAGCATAAACTGAATATTTAAATATTATAATAGTATTTGCTATTAATATTTGCTCATTTTATTATCTCCATAAATATCTGTCAAAAAACAACTTTTTTTTGTTCTTTCTAGTTCACATATAGAGTGAAGTCGCAGAGTTTGAAACTCAAAACATTAAAATATTTTTTTTCATGACTGCATAGTAATTTATTTACTTTTTAAAATTTTTTTAAATTTTATTTTATTATGGTATGTTAATCACCATACAAAACACTAAAGTATTTTTAAGTTTTGTGGTAAGGTTATTGGACATCTTTATTTTCAAATGTGATAGACATTATTGTAACTGTTACCAAAAAATCTTTATGAGGTACTACTACCTGGTACTGTTCATAATGCCTGCCGGCTAAGTGTTTACATTGTATAGCAGATATATTCTTGAATTCACACATATGTCAAGCAGTAGATAAAACGTAAGAAAGTGAATCATGTCACATTGGAATGGAAAACAAAGGTAGGGTACACAGTTAGAGAAAGATGCCCATTCAGTAAACATTTTTTTGAGTGTCTCTTATATATAGCAATGTGCTAGGCACTAGAAATACAAAGAAAAATATAACAGTTCTTGCTCTCAAAGAACTTAAAGCTTCAAGAGGGAAACAAACAGGGCACAGACAAATATCTATAGGGGGTGAGCAGTTATTGCATGATGCGGACTATGTATATGATAGTAGAACTACCTGCTTGCATTTGCAGCTAAGCATTATACCTGCTAAATTCTATTAACTCTTAAAATATTTGTTCAAAATGGTGTTGGGAAAATTGGATAGCCACATGCAGAAGAATGAAACTGGACCATTTCCTTACACCACACACAAAAATAGACTCCAAATGGTTGAAAGACCTCAATGTGAGACAGGAGTCCATCAAAATCCTAAAGGAGAACACAGGCAGCAACCTCTTTGACCTCAGCTGAAGCAACTTCTTCCTAGAAAAATCGCCAAAGACAAGGGAAGCAAGGGCAAAAATGAACTATTGGGACTTCATCAAGATAAAAAGCTTTTGCAAAGCAAAGGAAACAGTCAACAAAACCAAAAGACAACCGACAGAATGGGAGAAGATATTTGCAAATGACATATCAGATAAAGGGCTAGTATCCAAAATCTATAAAGAACTCATCAAACTCAACACCCAAAGAACAAAGAATCCAATCAAGAAATGGGCAGAAGACATGAACAGACATTTTTCCAAAGAAGACATCCAAATGGCCAACAGACACATGAAAAAGTGCTCAATATCGCTTGGCATCAGGGAAATCCAAATCAAAACCTCAATGAGATACCACCTCACACCAGTCAGAATGGCTAAAATTAACAAGTCAGGAAACGACAGATATTGGCGGGGATGCGGAGAAAGGGGAACCCTCCTACACTGTTGGTGGGAATGCAAGCTGGTGCAGCCACTCTGGAAAACAGTATGGAGGTTCCTCAAAAAGTTGAAAATAGAGCTACCATATGATCCAGCAATTGCACTACTGGGTATTTACCCCAAAGATACAAAAGTAGGGATCCGAAAGGGTACATGCACCCCGATGTTTATAGCAGCAATGTCCACAATAGCCAAACTGTGGAAAGAGCCAAGATGTCCATCGACAGATGAATGGATAAAGAAGATGTGGTATATATATATACAATGGAATGTTATGCAGCCATCAAAAGGAATGAGATCTTGCCATTTGCAACGACGTGGATGGAACTGGAGGGTATTATGTTGAGTGAAATAAGTCAAACAGAGAAAGACATGTATCATATGATCTCACTGATATGAGGAATTCTTAATTGCAGGAAACAAACAGGGTTGCTGGAGTGGGGGGTGGGGTGGGAGGGATGGGGTGACTGGGTGATAGACACTGGGGAGGGTATGTGCTCTGGTAAGCGCTGTGAATTGTGCAAGACTGTTGAATCTCAGATCTGTACCTCTGAAACAAATAATGCAATATATGTTAAAAAAAAAAAAAAGAAGAAGAAGGTAGCGGGAGGGGAAGAATGAAGCGGGGGAAATCGGAGGGGTAGACGAACCATGAGAGACGATGGACTCTGAAAAACAAACTGAGGGTTTTAGAGGGGCGGGGGGTGGGAGGATGGGTTAGCCTGGTGGTGGGTATTGAGGAGGGCACATTCTGCATGGAGCATTTTGTGTTATGCACAAACAATGAATCATGGAACACTTCATCTAAAACTAATGATGTAATGTATGGGGATTAACATAAGAATTAAAAAAAAAAATTCAGATCTACCAAACAAAACACATCAATAAGCCTTCTATGGCCCAATTGGCTAGTTTTAATTGGGTGCTTTAATAGAGGTAAATGTCAAGTTAGAGTTGAGGTAGAAAGGAAGAGCCTTTTTACCATGAACACACAAGTAAGGTATATCATTCTGGTTAGGTCAGAAAAAGAGCCATTACAAGGGTTTTGGGAGTCAAGGTATTTAATATAGGATTTAGGGCTTACTAAAAATAACAGTTAATTTAAAACTTTATGAAAGTGTGAAAAATAATTTTGAATTCTGTGAAGCTCATACCAGGTGTAAGAGGAGTTGAGAGAATAAAAATTCTGATCTTCTGGCTGCAGCCTTCCAGAAACAGTCACTAATGACTTTAGTCTGGAGAAGCCAGAATTCACAGATAAGTCTGAGATGCCACCATGTCTATCTGTTACAGCCTCAAAGCAGAAATTCATGGAAAGTTCTGAAAAGTGCTGCATCTGGCCACCACATCCTTAAAGCAGGAGCTGAGAGGTCTGTGAAGCTGTCATATCCAGCTTCCATAACCTTCCAAGAATACTGGCTTCCCAGTTGCAGGGTAGAAAATGATTAAAGAGGTAGATGGGAGCCAAACAATGAAAGGCTTAAAAGTCATGCAAAACTGAGGGGAAACTATTGAAAGATCTTGAGCATGGATACCATATATTTAGAATTCTGTTGGTTCCAGAAGATGGATTGATTAGAGGAAGGCGAATCTAGATGCATTTAGAGGGCTGTGATAAAAATTGTAGGGGCCTGTACCAGTGTGTTTGCAATAGGAATGGAGAGATGTCAGTGGACTTAAAATAGCTTTTTAAGGGTTTAGGTGTAAGCAGAGGGCTCTAAGAAGTCTCTCCTAGTTCCTGCTTGGTATCTGAGAGTATAACAGAACCACTAACCCGAACACAGAAAGCAAGAATAATACCTTGAAATAAAAATGAGTTAAGTTACGGGAAATGACTCAGATAAATTTAGAAAAGCCTCACCCAGAAGATGTATGCCTCTAAGATCTTGGTAATATCTGTTTCTGTTTCCATTACAGTGTGACTTAGAAGGAATCATGCCAAATGTTACCATCAGCTTGAGTCTCCCCACCAACGGGTCTCCACTTCAGGATATTCTAGTTCATCCTTGTGTGACTTCTCTTGACTCTGCTATTCTGACTTCTAGTAGCATTGATGCAATGGATGATTCTGCATTTAGTGGACCTTACAAATTTCCATTCACTCCTCCTTTAGAGTCATTCAACTTATGCTACTATACTTCGCAGGTAAACAACCTTGGAAAAGTTGGAACTTTGCTAATCTTCATATTTATGAATTCTGTTGTAAGCAAATCATTCATACTTTTGGCCCACATGAGAACTTTTCATTATTAACCAGATAGTAATTGATGAATGAAGATGAAGATTCAGGTCTTTGAATAAGATACTTCTTCTCTCTGGTGTCTGTAATAGCACTGAATGGTTTTCAAAGTCATGGGATCTTTTTTTTTTTTAATGTTCCTTAATAAGGACTCCATGGTCATAGGATAGATCCTGATATAACTTAGTCATGGTTTGAATTATAACATAAAATTCCTGTAATCCCAGGCAACTGGGGTAACAAATACATAATATTATTTATAGATACTGTCTGTTAAATAACTGTTTTGTCAGACATTGTCCTAGGCACTTTACATGTTTTTTCTCCAGTACTTTTAAAACCCTTAATATAGGTATTACTGGCCCCATTCTACAGATAAGGAGAGTCTCAGAGAAGTTAAATGACATGCCTAAGGCCTTATAACTAATAAGTAACAGAGTCTGGATTGAACCCAGATTTTCCACACTCCAAAACCCAACTTCCTTTTTACTATACCATTTGTCTTTTGTCCTAATTATGAATCAATAGTTTAGAAAACCTACTCAAGCTACCTTACATAAAGGGAATTTATTTTGATAATATAAGAGGCAATCTGAGCGTCATTCAAGGATAAAAAGTAGACCCAGCCTGTACTGGGAATAGAACCAGAAAATCAAAATTAAAATCACCCTGTACTAAGTGTCTATACTGTCTGTCTCATCTCTCAGTTTTCTCTTCCAGCTGGTTTTCTCTGCTTCCATATGACCTATAACTCTAAAACCTTATGCTACATAGAGTCTATTTATTACTTCAAATATACCAGAAAGAGTGATTGGCTTACTTCAGCCTACAGATAGTTTCTCCTTCAATCAGTTACTGATAACCAGTTGAGTAAGCTACTGCTGAGCTGGGGGTGGGGGAGTCACAAAATACACATAGGGAACTGTGAGCAGGGCATCAGTGAACATTATGTCTAGTGCACATCTTATGTTGCAGGTCATAGAGAACCTGGAGGAGGGGAACCTGGATGAGCAAGCAAGGAAAAACAATGTATTGCAAACCTTTGTAAGGCACCTTTCTTATCTCTGGAAACAGAGAAGGAAAAATCCCTGCCTTTAGAACGATAATGGCTCCCTCATCTATTATCAAAACAGTGTAGAGTAATCTACACATAATAACTACATTACTACAGGCCCTTTTCTCAATCATCATTGGTATTTTAGACCCATTAACCTGAGAATTATACAAAAATTTGTTTATGTTTGTTTCCAGGTCCCAGTCCCACCAATTTTGGGTTTTTATCAAATGAAAGAGGAAGAAATACAAGTAAAAATAACAGTTAACTTAAAACTTCATGAAAGTGTGAAAAATAATTTTGAATTCTGTGAAGCTCGTATACCTTTTTATAATAGGTAAGAATAAAACAACCTGGTACCATGATTTCTGCCTTTCTTAGTACATTCCCATTGCCCTATAGTAAATTATTTATCTTTGTTTTTTTACCTTATCTTTAAGATCTAAAAACTTTATTCAAATGAATGCTGATTCTGAACCAAAATTCAGTCATAAAAATAATCTCTTTACCTTTAAATGTGTCTTCATTTCTCTAGTTAAACTTACTAGTCAATACAAGAAGGCATGTGATGTAATGAGCACTGGGTATTATATAAGACTGATGAAACACAGACCTGTACCTGAAACCAATAATACATTATATGTCAATTAATTGAATTTAAATTTAAAAATGTTAATAAATAAATAAACTTACTAGTAAATACAAACTTAAGCCAATGTAACTTCTTTAGGGATTATTTCACTACTAGCTTTATTTCTAGCAATTTCTCTGTGCTCTACATAGAAGTCAAACCCAACTATCAGCTACCTGGTGAATTAAGCCAATGGTAACATAAGATTACGTCCTCAACAGTTCTGCTTTTAAATTTGTTCTGCAGCATAGTTCTTTTCATAGGATGCCTAAAGATACAGTGAAATTATAGTTTTAATGTTATGTCATTCCATATGACTGTATTAATATGTTCTATATGATTTTATAGTTGTGTTCAGAATTAATAATGAAATGTCTATCATCACCAAAAATATTTATTGTGGTTTTGGTGTTTTTTGAGATATAATATTTATTATTTGTTCTACTTTATTCTGCAAACTTCAATATATAAATCTGCTTTTATGCAGTCCTTCTATTAAGTAACACTAGCTGGATTTGACTTAGATCTCTTTAGACTCTTCTATGATCATTTTTTTCTTTCTATTTTGTCCTTTTCTTTTTTAAAGAGGTCCAGTCACACATGTGGAATACAAAGTTAGTTTTGGCCAGCTTGAAGTATTTCGAGAGAGAAGCTTATTGATCTGGATTATTGGTGAGCTTTTATTTATTGACTTTTTAAATTCATTTGTTGTAGAATCTACTTACTTTAAAATAGTTAACTGGTACGTTTGTGTTTTTAGGACAGAAGTTCCCCAAATCAATGGAAATTAGTCTTTCTGGAACAGTCACTTTTGGAGCCAAGAGTCATGAGAAGCAGCCATTTGATGAGATTTGCATTGGAGGTACAGCATATTTAAAGGTAAATACATTTATGTGGCTCACTACATTAGAAATCCTTCCTTTGTTTTTAAATTGCATATATCTAATTGATTTTTAATGTATTCTAGCCATTTTTTGTGGGAGAACTTCTTGTCTGTGCTAAGTCTCTTTAGATTTTTGTGAGATTTCTTTTTGTTTAGTATTAGTCACTTTCTATTTCATTTAATACTTAAAAAATTTTTAAGGTGAAACAGTTAAGTTTAACCTTAACACGTCAAAGTAACCAAGTTCTATTTCCCAGCTCTTAGTTACCACATTTAAGATTCCTATACAAAAACTATAAGATGTAGCCCTTGCCCTCTAGAAGTTTTCCACTGATACATGTCAGTAATTGATCAGTGCTAACTGCTTTTGGTATTTGAAGGAAACAGTGAGCATTTCTGACCAGAGTGGTCAAGGAAAGCTTTGCAGTAGAGATGGGAGTTTAAGCAAAACTCTGAGGCCCAGATAAGCATGAAAATGAAATTTTGAAGATTGACCAACATTTATATAGGTAAATAAATGACTTAATCAAAGGAATGAAGGATGACAAGGCACACTTAGGAACCAGTGCTAGAAATAGTAGTAACACATCAGGCTGGATAAGTGATTTAGGTCTAGATTGTAGCTTTGGAGGGTTTGCATTCTGACTTTTATTCCTTTGTTAGAAAATGTTTTTAGTTTTATATAGATCTTTCAGAAAACAATACTTTATGAAGATCAATCTGGAATGGATGTGAGAAGGTGAGTAGGAAAAAAATAGTAAAACTTGATTCCCGATGAAAGGTTGTAAGTTAATGATGCTGAGTGTCACAGAAAGAAAGAAAGACTCCTGGAGAAGCTGTGATAAAGGTAAAGCATTTGTCACTAATTAAACAAAAAATAGTTTTAAGTCCAAGATTTAAAAACATTTTTTAAAAAATGTAGCTTCAATCAGACTTGAAGCTCCAAGAGGGCAGAGACCATATGAGTGTCATTCATTCATTATTTTTATCACCAACATCTAGTTTATTACCTACCACATAAATATTTGATGAAGGATGAATATACTTAAAGTACTAATATGGAGAAAGTTGGGAGGAAGTGGTATACATATCATGTATATTGCTGGTAATAGCAACGTATCCCAATGTAAGTGTCTAGTAGGTAGCTGAAAACCTAGAGCTAGATTCTCAAGAGAGAATTCAACAGTATATAAGGATGCAGGAGTTACCTTGTGGAGAAAAAAATAATTGAGGCAGTGGAAGTGAGTAAGATCAGAAAAAAAGAAAATAAGTAGATGATTTAGAAGACCCAGTGAGAGGAATTGAAGGGATGATCAGAAAAGTAGCAGGAAAACCTAAATAGAATGGTAGAGAAATCAGAGAGATTGAAACCTATATAATAACAGTTAGAAGAAATGGTAGTGAAGTCAGAAGTGCAGGGACACCTTAAGCGTCTGCCTTCAGCTTGGGTCATGATCCGAGGGTCCTGGGATCTAGTCCCACATCGGGCTCCTTGCTCAGCAAGGAGTCTGCTTCTCCTTCTGCCTTTGCCACTCCCCCTGCTTGTGCTCTCTTTCCCTCTTTCTCTGACAAATAAATAAAATCTTAAAAAAAAAAAAGTACACTAGTGATACTCATTTCTTCTATCTTGGCTTCAGCTATATCCACAGCTTTGTTTCAAGGATTGTTATAAAAATTCCTACTTCCGGATATTTTTTAGAAAAAATATGGGATGTTACTACACTGTAGGTCTTGCAGAGGTAGGGATTCTGACTTTTTTTATTCATTACCATCACCTACTCAGTTATAATCTCATTGCAAGCATGTAATACATATTTGTGTTCACTGAATAGATTTATTTTTATAATATTTAGTTATATGGAAATCAGTCTTATTATAACTTCCAGAATCCAGAATTATACCAAACAAGCAAGCAGAAGCCCTTTACAATTAGAGATAATATAAATTGCAATAGGAAAAAAAATGCTTAAAAGATCACAAAATTTACATTCTATGTATGTGGCCCAGTTAATTTGGCAATCAAAAGGAGAAAGTTAGGAAGTAGGAGAAATTTGCAGGGATGGGAGATAGAAGAAGAAGTGTAGAAAAGATAACAGGATATTGCAAAATCAGGAGCTTTTAACAGCAAATATGAGAACCACAGCAGAAGGACACTGGAGCTCCCTTGATAAGACACAGACCTTTGATAGTTCATGTGAATATCACCATGACTCAGGCACCCCACCACTATGCCTTCAGAGAAAGTACTAATAATGGCCCTTTCTAAAATAGCACAGTATAATAATTGGCATTTATACTGATGATGCCACATTATCAATTAAATCCAGAAATACGGATTACATTTTAGAAAGGTTTCATAGGTGAGAGAAAGGATGATTTCTAAGCTTAGTTCTAGAAAAATTGAATTTTAGTTTTCTGGAAAATTAAGCAGAACATCTCATTCCCTCCAAACATGAGATAAACTGTTTCACTTTTAGTAATTGTATTCTTGTGTTTTGCTAGAAAGTGTATACATTTCTGCCTGTAAAAGAATTATGATCTGAAATATATCACAATCATATAGCCTTAGAGATAGAAGAGAATATGCAGAATACCAGACACCCTAAGGGAAGAAGCACCAGTTTTTGTTGTCAGTGGAGTCTGAGTTCACATGCCAGCTCTGCTACTTAAATTCTGGGATGCTAGTTGCTCCCATCTCTGAACCTCAGTGCCCTAATTTTTAAAATAGGGATGCTTTGCAACATAGATTACAGTCCATATTAGTGAAGTATCTGGTGGGTGTTAAGCACTTCCTAATGACAACATTACAAAGAAATGGTCCTAATGCAAAGGGGGAAAGGTGTATGTGTGTATGTATGCACGAAAGCACACCACACACATTTTTATTTTGTGAACTATGTGAAGTGAATCGCTAAAATTGTGTCAAGGGAAAAAAATGTGACCATCGCTTTTATCAAATAATCACCTCAATTTGGTGTATTTCTCTTCTTTTTCTAGCTTCATTTTAAGATCTTAGATTATACACTCACTGGTTGTTATGCGGATCAGCATTCAGTTCAAGTTTTTGCATCAGGAAAACCAAAAATAAGTACACGTAAGTTGTACAGATGCAAACTAACTTGAGGGAATTAAAATGGTGCTATACAATTACTACCTAAGACAAAATTAAAATGGAATAGAGATCAGAGAATAATCCTACTTTATAAAAATTCTGACCTGATCCTATCCTGTGTAACAGTATGTGTACTTTACATTGGCCTCTGCCTTCTCTTGTTTATAAAATGGTCTGGGTGAGCAAGAATTGGTATAGAGGTGGGCTTTAGTATAAAGTTGGATTTGTTTTGCTCTGGTTATAATATACTTTTTTATTCAGAAGTTGTTCCCCGACAAGGGTTTGAGTCTGGCTCAGACATTTTATTAGCTGTGTAAATTTGGACAAGTTAGTAAACTTCTCAAAGTTTTCGTTTCCTCATCTATAAAATGGAAATAATAGTACTGTTTATCTCGGGATTGTTACGAGATTTAGATAAAATTATATTGACCAAGTGCCTAGCATGATGCTTAGCATGTAGCATGGATTCAATAAATGTTAGATGTGATTATTATTTAAAATTTTAAATATTTTTAGCAAATGCTATAGTCAATGAGCATTATTTAGTGCCCTCTCCATTTTATAAGTAGGAGGGCAATAGAAAGAAGGTTTCCAGCCTTTGGTGAGTTTATTGGTTGTCAGTAAACATATATACTGTATATGAAAACACAGGGAGACAAAATAATTTATAAATGAATTCAGAATTATTTAATTCAGATCAAATATTTATAGTAGCATAGAACAGAAAAGTAACTAGAATGAGTTTAAAAGTTAGCTAAACATAAGCAGAACTCTTAAGTTTTATTTATTTAAGTAATCTCTACACCCAACGTGGGGCTCAAACTCATGACCCCAAGATCTTCTGACTGAGCCCAGATGCCCCTAGATAAATATTTCTTAAACTAAGGATTAGGATCCCCAAAATAGGTAGGATAAGACAGGACTTTGTACATGAAAGTTTCAAAAGGATTACAGAACTCAGAACTACAGAATTCTAAGCGATTACTTGTGAATGGCAGTAATAAATTCCATGTAATGTAATCAGAATAAGTCATAATTCTTTACCTCCTTAGGATTTCCCTATGTTTTCTCAGGCATCGTTTTTTGGTTGTATTTTAAAGAAATGTATATACATGGAAGAGTCTTCAAGATGCATTTTTTTATTGAAGGCATGATATAGTTATATCAGTTTAGACAAACCATGCTAAATGCAAATATTTTGGATTCTATCTATGGGATACTGAATGCAAACAGACCAATATTTTAGACTGTATGGGAGATATGTTTTCTCTTTAGGTAATGTCTAAATATTTTAAGTATCTTATTAATATTAACTAAACATATTGTAGCAATTCTCAGAAAGCATAATACAGGATGGGGTGGTTCCGTAATGTACCTGCTTAATGTAAAATATTAATATATTTTAATATAAATTAATATAAAATATTAATATCTTGAATAAAAGAGGTCATCTTATAATGCATCATTATGACCAGTCTTTTATTTCCTTCCTGTTAGTTTCAGAACACGACTACCACTTTGTACAACTAAGACCTTTATTTTGCCATCATCTTGACAATACAATTTATTTTCAACATATACAACTTAGTTCTGAAAATATTAATGCCAATAATAATGTTAATTTAAATAATAATAGCTAACATTTATTGCTTACCGTGTGCCAGGCACAGTTCTAAGTATTTTACGTGTGTTAACTCATTAATCCTCGCAACCCTATGTGAGAATTGTTATCTCCATTTTACAGATGAGGATGCTGATGGAACAGAGGGATTAGGGTCACGTAGCTAATAAATGGCAGGACTGGGAATCAAACCAAGCAGTCTGGCTCTGGAGCCAGTATGTTGTGTTGCTTTTCAATGTTTACTAGGTTCTCAGACTGAAGAAATAAATAAATAAATAACAAGGTAATACATCTTACCTCTATCTTTTTCATTATGAAGAAAGGCATGAAGAAGAAAGGTAGAAAAGGCAGAATTAGATATTCACTAATGTGTGTAATAATCAGAATTTACATGGGTCTAGCTCCAAATGAGCATTATTAGCTCAAATTTACATATCAGAAAACTTTAGTTCAAAGAGGTTGTCATTTGTCCAAAGCTATAAAGCTATTAAAACAGAAAACTTAAATTTGATCAGAACTTTAAGAAACCATTGAAGCAACTTTTTAAAAGTATTACTAGAAAGTGGAATGTTTATTTCTGTCTAAAACTTGGAATGGGTAAAGAACAGCAAGATCAGGATAAGGACCATGGTGAAGAGAGGTCACATAATTGGAAACCAATAAAAAGTTTTAAATTTTTTTTGTAGTTGATGTCATGGTCCATAAGAAACAGAATTTAAGGAAATCATGAGAAAAATTGATAGAAGTGGAATAAATGAGAGATATTGGCATAAATTTGGCATAAACAAGCTCAAAGATAGATTTAAATATTTAATAAACCCATTTTTTAAAGCTGTAAAAATTACAATGCCTTGATAAAGTGAAATTAAAATAAGTATTTCAAAGTGTTGCCTTTCTTGAAATCATTGTGTTCCACATTTTTAAAATATCATGACTGCTCTCTCATTGAATTTTTGTTAATGTAATACAGTCTTATCATTTATTTCTTTTTTTTTTAATAGACCGGAAACTAATTTCTTCTGACTATTACATCTGGAATTCTAAAGCTCCTGCGCCAATAACATATGGATCATTATTACTGTAATTATCTCATACTTAAATAGGATTTATATAATGGTAACATAAATTAAATCATTAGTCTTTTATTTTTAATGTGTGTGCATATAACCTATGAATGAAAAAAGTCATTGATTTAATTATAAAAATGCTCCTGTTTAATGTTTTTAGCCTGACATAGTTTGAAAGAACATTTTAAAGACTAATATTTCCTCTTTTGTTACCCTTTGATTTTACTCAAATATGATTCAGAGCAGAAAACAGTAGTGATTCACTTTAGGCTTATTTTAAACTAGTCCTGGGTCACCCTACCATATATACTTTCCTGCTCCTGTGGCAGACATGGCTAATCAGTTGTAGCCTTCTTTCTCCACTGAGCCTTCCTGGATACGGGCTCAGGCTCCTTCTCATTGCAGAGCTGCAAACAGCCACTCCTGATGGATTGTAGATTAAAAGATGGATGTGCAAGATAAAAAACTCTGCTCTTTCCAACCTGAGAAGTAAGATCCTGGTACAATGTATTGTTATAGAATACCAGAAACCACTGTAAATCTCTTGGGGGAAAAAAAAAAATAACCAGTCAATGAAAACAAAGGAATGTTGTTTAAATAGTAACCTGTTCTTAATCAGAACTTTCTTATTGACTAATAAAGAATCTGAATAATTCTATTTAAGGTGTTTGTTTATCTCTGTTCTAGAGTTACTTTTCAGGTAAACTTATTAATCTGCCACAATAACATTTTGCTCAGGATGTCAGTCAGCATACTAAGAGGGGTGGGATACCTTTAGAAAATGAGCCTAGTGTTTTGTGATCACTTAATGCCTGCAGCCAAATTTTTTAAAGATAAATTTAGGTATAATACTGTTTTTCATGTTTATTATATGAAAATTCTTGATGAATTCAGTAAAAATTCAAAAGCTGTTCTGTGGGTAGAGAGTATTACTTAATCTTATTTCAGTGTCGTGTAGTCTCTTTCCTTTAAATTTATCACTCCTGCTTTCTTACTAGCATTCTCTTGATTTCTTCAGGAACCACCCTGTCATACTTTTTATTCTCTGTCTTTACAAATTATATGTCTCATTCTGTTTTCAAAGCAGTTCCTTGTCAAGTTGGACTTTAAGTGGCCATTCAAGAAAAGATGAAATCTCAAGATCCTCAAAAGTTAATCTATGTCAAGTTTCTTTTTATGGAATAGAATTAGAAGCGTTATAAAAAATATGCATTACAGATTAATATTCAATTAAATTATCTCTTGGTTTCTATTTTTTTAATCAGTCTCCTAAGGAAAAGCTTAGAAAAATCTTCTAACTCCTTGAAAGAGAGCTATGATAGTTTGAAGGGAGAGTGCATATAAATTTAGGATTTGAAATATGGCTTTTTAATTAAGGTCAATCTCACTCGTTATAAATTCTCATTTTCTGTAAGGCATTATGGCAGAATGCTCTATGTTCAAAATTATCCCAAGTAACAAAGAAAATAGAATAACTGCCTGACCAGGACTTTAACTTATTATTCTGGCTTAATCATAGATAATCAGTAGTTAAAATTTTCCTTTTGGAAGAAGAAAAAAAAACATTTCACTTAAGTTATTTGATCTCTCTTAAACTCAAGGAAAGCTTAACGTTTAACTTACGTTAATATTAATGGAGCCATTTGGACATCTTGATTGTATAAATGTTGAGTAAAGTACACTAAGATAGGCAAGAGGCATTTATCTAGTAAGTACATAGATATCCAGTATAATAATCCCCTAAACTTTCTTTCTAAGCAATCAGAAAAACTAGTGAATCTTTGATTTGACATTTCTAGAAGCCTGAGGAAAATCAAGGGAATACTGGACAAGTGTAGGGCGAAGGGGAACCTGATGCCATCTGTTGCCATTCCATTCTAACATAACGCTACAGAACTAAAACCAACTCATGTTTTCATCCTGTTGAGATCAGCTGGGCACACTGTGATGCTTTTGATTTTGTCTAGAAACCTGTCACTTCAGGATAATTTCTGAAGACAAAGTCTGTTTCCCGTTTGGTAGGTGACCTGTTTAATGTTTTCCCTGTGTCTGGGAACTCCTTAGTGTAATTAGCGACCTTTGAACTCCACAACTAATCCTGAGCTATTTTGTATTCCTTACTCATCTTTAAGGCTGGACCTTTCTTTTCTTCAGAGTCCGCTGCCACAATTAAAGAAGAAACAGCTGCATTTCAAAGGGATTCCGATTCCAGAAGCTTAATCGTGATTGACATGTTCTTATTCTAAGCTATAAGACACTCTAAGAGTCCTTTCTTGGGTTAAAACTTCAATCATTTTCTAAAAAATTATCTATGGATTTTATTCATTTTCTTTGATAACTATTCTTTGCATTTTTTAACTTGAAAGATGCTTTGCATTTGTGGTGAATATGAGCATCTACTTCCAGTGAAAGATTTGGATGGTGTCAGACATACTCTAGATGCAAAATTGCTAAATTCCCTTTTAGTGCCAAAATATGATTATGAAATCTGATGTCTATCATAAGGGTAATTATTCTTCAGTAGACCCAAAAGGTAAAAAAGTGTTAAATTTCTGAAAATGTACTCTAAAAAAAGTAGTTCATGATTTTCGTAAAACCCTTCTTCATTTTTTACTGAACAATATTTTTAAAACTTTATAAAGCTGGCAATACTCTTATAGTGTAAGGTAATTAATACCCTTACAGCGGTGGGCACTTTTTATTTTTCCTTTTTAAATTATTGATTCTAATGTCAGGTTTGAAGTAAATAGCCTTATCAGGAATTCTTAAGAGAATTATTTGTGTAAAAAGTTTTTTTTTTTATTAAACAATAGTCTGTCTCATAAACTTTATTTTTTTCACAGCAACTCAGTATTTCTGAGTTAAAATTATTGTGGTTTTTATACATTGTATGATTTAAGGTCTTTCAAAGCACAATTTTATACCCAGTAACAACTAATATTTTTCTTTTATTTTTTTATTATAGTATTTCACACTGCTTTAGAGACATTCATAGACTCCTGTACCACCCCTGAGAGGTAGGTAGGTCAAGTTATCATCCAGAGCCTCTGTGGGGACTGCTGCCATAGCAGAACGGTTGTTTCTAAGACAAAGGTCAGAAAAGGGATGTTAATAAACAGTCCTCAGGTTTAAGGGACTTTTTTAGGATTACATCTTAAATTCCAACAAATCAGATTTAGGAGTTACTGAAAGTGAAATTGATCCATCCCTCATCCAAACTTTGCAATACTTTCCTGTTCTGACATCATTTAGATAGTTAGCTGTATTATCAGATTAGAAACCATTGTACCCGGCTGCTGAAAGGAAAAGGAGGCAAAAAGCTAAACATGGGATGAATTCTGAACCTTTTAACCTGGCTGAAGTACGTTGGTCCCTGTTATGCAAATACCTTCAATCCTCTGCTAAGTTCAGTGGAAATAATTTTCTTGAATGACAGGTTTATTCAGCAAGGATTCAGTTGGTGATTAATCCCCCTTTGATCTAGGGTATTTCACTTAACTACCAGTTACCTCGTTCTGACAAAGTGCAACTGAGATTAGGGAGATCACTAGAACACTACCAGGGTGTGCGTTTATTCTCTCTAACCTTTTAAAGCAGGGGCCAAGAATGCAATTTATTTTCAGTATTTGAAGATGTAAAGTCCTGTCTGCTAAGTTAGAAAGTCAATTGAATACCAAATGAAGTTTATTTCTTACGTAATAGAACAAACATTTCTTTTTGCTTTGACTAACAATGCTTTTAGGAAATGCAGACTTTGAAGAAAGAAGAAACAGAGACTACATTCTAAGTATATCTTCTAGTTTTGTTTCATGTACTAGAGTGTATACTTATTGGCTCTGAGATAAACCAAAAATCAAAGCAGTGGCTACAACTTAGATTGAGAAAATGCTTCTATTTTATTAAACTGCATGGTTTCTCCCCGCCCTCCCCCCATTAAAAAATGTCATGCTATGTGGTAAAGAAATCCAATGGGGAAAACATATTGTAATACACAATTATTCACCTTAAGACTTGCGGTTTCAAAGCTTTATTTGTTAACTTTGTCCTTCCTTGAGGAAAAAGGGCTTGTTATATTGCCACCATAAGAATAATCACATTCTTTTTCAGAATGATAGGGGTTTTTTCCATAAAGGTAAATGATGCCATTACAAAAATAATCCAAATTATTTTAAATTATCAAAATAATTACTTTCCACTGTATTGTTTACTATTTCTTCTGCCTTTTTCTCATTTAATTGGGTACCTCTTCTTCCATAACTGTAAAATTTAAGATACTTTATGGAATTTTGTACAGTATTTTAAGAATAAATATTTTATGCTAGGCTTCTTAAAGAATTTGCTTTTAAAAACTATTAGCAACATCAGTGTCAATATTCATCTTCCAAGATATCAAATTTGGAGATTTATTCCTTAAGTATATTTTAAGATTGGCTCTTAAAAGAAGAAACATAATGATTTGTAACAAAAATAGTTTTAAAATATTAAATTATTGATTAATTTTATTATTACTGACAAGGCTTTTTTTAATGCTTTATAATTGTTCATTATTCTATTAGCAGTTTAGAATACAACTTACATATTTAGATAACTTTCCCACACATTTTTTTGTCTCAAACATTCTGTGATCCAATTTCTAAACTCAAACAATGACTTGTACACATTGAATTCATGTTGGTGCCAAACCAGTCTCTCTAGTTTCAATTTAGTAACCAATCTGTTTCTAAATACCTTCTGATAGCAAGTTACTTAACCAAAGCAAAATTGATGTGCTTGCTTGGGCAGCACATATACCAAAGCAAAATTGAGAAGCAGAAAAAGATTTAAGTTAGAAGAGCAGGATCCCCTGGCTATATTGCTAAGAAACTAGTATTTTGAATAATTAACTACTCTTCTGCAGTCAATATTTAGTTAATAAATGTTGCAATATATTTTGAAGTATGCCATCAAAGAATCTAGATTTAAACGTATGTATACACATATGTGTGTATATTTGTGTAATATATATGTTAGTGTATCTGACTTGGTGGGTTGCCCTATGAAATGTTTGTGTATCATGTCAAAGGAAGAATATTTAAAGTCAGATAATCTTCACTCCAAACATGTTTGTTAACAGTAATGGAGAGGTTCATTAAAATGAAAATTAACAGAGAACTCATGCAATTACTCTCAAAAATGGTTACAACACTTAGGAGCTGAAGCCTTTTCAACTACCTTCTAATTTTTTTCATCAACTGTTTTATGGAGATGATAATATTATTGTCTATGTATAGCCTGGAGCAGTCAGTGCCTTATCCATACTACTAGTTTACTCTGAGGTCCAGATTGATTTCTCTAGGCCCTGACTAATCTGTGTAATTGTTGGCAGTGTGGTGCTAATGTATGATGCATAGCATTTACGGATTGACAGGTACCCTGGGATGGAAACCACCTGCTGAATTGTTTTTTCCAGTAAGACATGTGGAAATTTGTATGTCTTAATAATCCATTAAACACTTGAAGTCGAACTGTATGTTTCCTTTAAATGTCTTCTTTTTAAATGATAGTTCTGTAAAAAACAATATTGTTTAGTTAACATACTACTAATAATAAAAATAAAAATAAATCATGATTATTCCTCTTAAAATTTTTACTTTTTCTTTGAAAGGACTTGAGTGCCCTCTGCAGGCTATAAAGAGATAATTAATGACTGTATTTAAACCCTGTGATTTTTTTTTCCCCTTTTAGAAGCATAGCCTGCATTAAGTGGGATCCATTTTATTTATATTGTTAGCTTTGTTAATTTGTCAGTGATTGAAGCAAGAATTCCTTTGTCAGTTTTATAGTTTGTGTTTAGTGTGAAGAATATTACCATTGATTTTCCAAATCACTTAGCTGGGGCTCTTTAAATGTTGGAACCATACACATTGGAACTAATAATAAACATTCCCTCACAAAAAGGAGACCAGGAAAACATTCAGCTTTTTGAAATTTATTGGAGATGTAGGCAATAACTTGATTATTTCCCATTACATTTTTAGGGTATTATACATTTGATATAAAGCCTTTTTCAATATGCATCATGTAAAATTTTTAAATTATATACAAGTTCTATGTATTGATCTTGTTGATGAGTGATGATTGTGTTCAAGTTAAAAAAACAAGGCTTCTTAGAATTTCTTTAAAGAAAGAATTGAACAGATAATGGTTTGTTGTGTTATTAGGTAGGTCTGCTAACTAGAAAGAGCATTTCTATTTGAAGAGCAAAAAGCAGAGGTTTCATTGAGTCCCTCATTTCAGTGTACCCATACTTTCTCAGCAGGTATAGCAGTTCTGTTCCTAAAGGATTTAGGAGTTCATTTTGTATATACACTATAGAACTGGAGTGCCAGTGGCACTTCTGATTCACTTAAAGCTGCCAGGGAAACTAAACATGATGAGAACAAGGGGAATGACTGGGTCAAATTAATAGAAATAGATCTTTTTGCAAGCATCATAATGATCCTGATCATCAACCTTGAAAAGTAAATTAGAACAAGCAAATTGCTGTTGAAAAATTCTTTCAGCACTCTGCTGTTGCTACTCAGCTAGTCATGGCTCAGCCAGAGGCAAGGAAAAAATGCACTCAGTTTTGTATTAACAAAGGCAACATTATTAAAGTGAATGTTTGCATTGTGTTTATTGAAGTGTTCAAAGAATATTTGTTGCATCTTCAACCTGCTATTCTCCAGACTAGTATAGTGCATGAGTGATAGTAAAAATGAGTCATGTGTACATTTTAGAAAGATAACTGACATTTAACTTAAATGTTTCTGAACTATCTTCAAAATATTTATGCATCAGACTTCAATACTTTCTTTTTTGAAGGTTTTCATCTAAGAAATACATCCATAAAAAAAAAAAAAAGACTCATTTGCTTGAATATACCTTCCAGTTACTTCCAAATGCTCGAAACTTTCCTCCCAGAAACAACAATGCATAGGGGATAATGGGCTGAAAACAATAAAAAAATGAAAACAGCTGTGAAATTGCTGAAGTGAGTGTGTAACAATACATAGTATGTGCATTGGAGAAACAGCATGATAACTGTGAGCACTTATGTGAGCTACAGTTGTCTTGAACTACTTCATAAAAACCAAGTTGAGAATAGCCAAGACAGCAAATGATAACATGTCAGTCTTTCATTTAAGAATTTAAGAAGTATTATATGTACTGGTAAAATGGGAAATTAATAATTAAAAGTTCAGAAAGAATTTTAGCTTTCACCTGTCTAAAATGAACAATTTAAATCACTTTTATATTTTAGAAGTAGGAAAAGTATAGTACTTAATGGGGATTAAAGTACCATATTTTGCTTGGTCTCTTAATAAGTGTTTATGAATGCAGTTCAGTATTCTGCAGTCTCTTATGCATTGAGTAGTTTTTGAAGAAACGTTTTCTTAGATTCACCAACAGGACAGGTTGTCAGTCTTCTACATTTCAACCCAAAAATTTATCTATCACACTTAGCAAAGATTATTAGCCCATGCTGTAGGCTGTTGAGAACCTCTTAGCCAGATATTATTTACCACTTCTGTAGCATATATTTACAGAGTATTATGTTTTTATTACTTTGTAGTCCAGAAGGAATTGATAAAAATTACTTAAAAGTTATGAATTACTGTATAGAAGTTTATATTTAAAATGAATTTTATTTAACATTTTCCTAAGGAACTTGGTCCATAATCTTAAAAAAAAAAAATTATTTTTTAAATAAAGTAAATACCAAGCCTCTAACTCTGCTTTTCTAAGAAAGTAACCAGGAAAAGTGGTTAGTAATGTGCATAGGTTAGTTAATAGTGGCAAGGGGACTTTTTAACTGATGGGGATATCAGTGGCTTCATGCCCATAATATGGATTTCCTTCTATTAAAAGAACATGCCATTTTATTTAATATTAAAGACCTAAACATAATTGAACATAAGGTATGACTTGAAATTAAAAACTGCTGAGTAATCTAGTTGAAATGGAGACCTTAATTTAGTTAATAAAAATTCAGTGTTAAACTTTATTATATTGTACTCTTACTATATGCCACTCTAAAACTAGACACAAAGACAAAAAATAGGGGCGCCTGGGTGGCTCAGTTGGTTAAGCGACTGCCTTCAGCTCAGGTCATGATCCTGGAGTCCCGGGATCGAGTCCCGCATCGGGCTCCCTGCTCGGCACGGAGTCTGCTTCTCCCTCTGACCCTCCTCCCTCTCATGCTCTCTGTCTCTCATTCTCTCTCTCTCAAATAAATAAAATCTTTAGAAAAAAAAAAAAAGACAAAAAATAGTCTCTGATTTTGCATGGTGCCTTATGACTCCCACAATGTATTAGCACTGTAATATGGAAGATTACTTCTGCACATTCGTTAATACAGAAATTGTTCAAGGAAGTGATGGTTGAAGTTCCCAGGCAAACAAGACAGAAGGGCATCCAAGGTCAACATCCTATCTGTGAGGTCCGACAAACAGAATTCCAGAAACCTGAACATCTAACATAGTAAGTGTATACATAGAATATTTTTTTGGTTCTAAATGTTTGAGATTTGAATAGATAAATATAATTTTTTTTTTCAAATCTTCACTTTTATTTTTCTTTTTATTAACATATAATGTATTATTTGTTTCAGGACTACAGGTCTGTGATTGATCAGTCTTACACAATTCACAGCACTCACCATAGCACATACCCTCCCCAATGTCCATCACCCAGCCACCCCATTAAATACAAATTTCTAAGGAAATTAATTATTGCTATATTTAATTTCCACCCTAGCATACAAATACAAAAGCACTTCTGCCTACTAAAATCTACATTCCTCCACTCTGTCTCCCCTTCCTTGATATTTTTGAATGCATATTCACATGTGCTAGTATGAGACTTGCCTCTGTATGATCAATGAATAAAATAGAATGATATATAAATAGGAATATAAAGAAAATATATAAGTGAAGAACTTATATAACTTGATAGGGTAATATATATTGTATTTGATAAGCTAACATTTTCTCTAATTCACCTACAGTAGAACCTACACCTTTGGAATATATTCTTAGCCTTGTTTCATTTGAATATGTATACATGTATATAAGTAAGTAAAACAAGAGAAATAAAAGCTTGAGCACTGGTCTCACTTACTAGCTTACAAATCTTTCCCGCACCTCCCACGCCAATATTTTGAACTTCTTGAGGACAATGACATTTATCATCCCATCTTTGTATTCCCAGTGCCACGAGAAACACAAAAGAAGCTTAGTCTTGATTCAGTGAAGTAGCAAAATGTTAAATATGTAATAAAGCAGATTGTCTTTGCACCTAAAACAAATCAATGATGTTTGAGTGATTATGGTTTTGCATGTGTGTATAAAAAGTTCATTGTGCAAACAGTGGTTCAGTCCACGTTCAGCACAGGTAATTTCTGCCCTGTGATTGCCATGTGTACCACCATTCAGAGATATTGTCACCATTTGTGACACTTCTTCAGGCATACTGTGCAGAGCTTTGGCTCAGCCCGTTAGACCAGCAACAGCTGAGGCCTGCAGTTGCTGCCCATCATAGGACACATTCTTTGCGGTTATGCTTCAGTGAACCTTAAAGCCCTTGGCACTCCCTTCTTAGAAATCCTTTCTGGAACTCCTTCTATAATGGCTTTGTGAATCCCCCACTATTCACCAGAGTTGATCCTGATTTTGTTCAATATAATGTGACCTGATGTGCTATGACTCCTCTCATCCCATAAAGCCACAGCTTTCAGTGATTCCCATATTCTAATGAAATAGAGTCACCAATATCCAAGAATTCCAAGTGATTATTTTGAACATATCCATTAACCACAAAGGCAGAGTGGTGTAGAGGAAATATACAATATTTGAAGTCATACACAGCTGATTTCAAAACCTGCCACTTACTAGCTGGGTGATCCTGGATAAATTACTTCTGTGATCTTCCCTTTCCTCCTAGCTTCATAGGGTTATTGCATTAAATGATACCAAGTTCTCCACATAGGTGTTCAATCAATGTTCTTTCCCTTCTAGATCAAAAGTTAAGAATGGCCTTTTCAAGTAACTTTCTCTGCCTATAATTAGTTATACCTTCAGATTATCAAAATTATATGAGTTGTCCATTTGACTTTGGTGGGGGTTTTTTGTTTTTGTTCTTGTTTTTTTAAGTAAGCCCAACATGGGCTCACAACCTCAAGATTAAGAGTCACATGTTCTGCTCTTTTCTGGTTACTACGGATTGAGGAACCATGAGCAGCAAAGTCTCCCACAACACCCTGTACGAGGCAGTGCAGGAAGTCATACACGGGAACCAGCACAAGCGCCAGAAGTTTTTGGAGATGGTGGAGCTGCAGATCAGCCAGAAGAACTATGACCCTCACAAGGACAAACTTCTCAGGCACCATCAGGCTTAAGTCCACTCCCTGCCCCAAGTTCTGCATATGTGTTTTGGGGAACCAGCAGCTCTGTGATGAGGCCAAGGCAGTGGATATTCCCCATATGGACATTGAGGTGCTGAAGAAATTCAACAAGAATAAAAAATGAGTTAAGAAGCTGGCCAAGAAGAATGATGCCTTTTTGGCTTCAGAATCTCTGATCAAGAAGATCCCGTGAATCCTGGGCCCAGGCCTGAATAAGGCTGGCAAGTTCCCTTCCTTGCTGACCCACAATGAGAACATGGTGGCCAAAGTGGATGAAGTGAAGTCCATCATCAAATTCCAGATGAAGAAGGTGCTGTGTCTTGCAGTGGCTGTTGGCCATTTGAAGATGACAGATGATGAGCTTGTGTACAACATCCCCTTAGCTGTCAATTTCCTAGTGTCATTGCTCAAGAAGAATTGGCAGAACGTCTGGGCTTTATCATCAAGAGCACCATGGGCAAGCCCCAGAACCCATGCTAAGGCACGGTCTAATAAACCCT